ATCCACCTGCTGCTCAAGTCCTCGGGGGTCGTGGGTGAGCCTCGGGTGCACCCGGGGGGGGGGGGGTGGCAGGGGGGGGCGCTCCTGACCGACCCCTTGCCCGCAGGGATCCGTGCCTACGAGCAGCTGGGCTACCGCGCCTTCGGGACCCCCGGCAAGCTGGCGGCCGCCCTGGCCATCACGCTGCAGAACATCGGAGGTGCGGGCAGCCCTGGCGGGGGGGGGGGGGGGCGCCTGAGGGAGGGCTGGCCGCTGACCCGCGCCCGCCCGCCCCTCCCCAGCCATGTCCAGCTACCTGTACATCATCAAGTCCGAGCTGCCCCTGGTCATCCAGACCTTCCTGAACCTGGAGGAGAAAACTTCGTGAGCCCCGGGGGGGGCTGGGGAGGGGGGAGGCACCGTCGGCCCCGGGAGCCCAGGGGCCGGGGAGAGACCCCGCGATGCCGGGGGAGGGGCAGAGAGCTGGCAGGAGAAACCACATCCAGCCACGCCTGGCCGTGAGCACCTCGTCTTACCCCCCCCGCCCCCCAGAGCCACCGGGCGGGTGAGGTCAGGGCCTGTGCGCAGGGAGGGCCGAGGGCCGAGGGCTTAGCTCTAAGCGCCTCTATCCCTGCTGGGGCCACGTGAGCCCCGCCAGGAGGCTAAGCCCGGGCTGTCCCAGTTGCCCATCCCCAGCTCAGCTGGGGGATGGCGTCCGCCATGTGGCTGAGTCGGGCAGAGAAGACAGGAGAGCAGCGGGGCTGCCACAGACAGCACACCCCCACCCTACCCCGGGCCGTTCCCGGGAGCTGGCCTTCGGCTGCCCGGGGCCGGTCCTGTCCTGTCCCTTCAGTTCCCACGGGCGGGGCAGGGGGACACGGCTCAGGCGGGAAAGCCCAGCCCATGGAAAGGCTTGCCCCCGAGCAGCGTCTTTCTCCCCCGCTTCCTGGGGTCCTGGGGAGGCGGGGCCAGACCTCCGGGCCCTGAGCAAACAGCACAGCCTGGTGGAGTGCCCCACCGCCACCCCTCGCAGGGCCCAGGGCAGGAGGCTCGGTGCCCCCGGCGGGAGGCTGCGGGCTCTGACCCGCTCCCGCCCCCGTCCCGCAGGGACTGGTACATGGACGGGAACTACCTGGTGATCCTGGTCTCAGTCACCATCATCCTGCCACTGGCTCTGATGCGGCAGCTCGGTGAGTGCCGGGCCGGGCCGGGCCTGGGAGGGGGGCGAGGACGGGCCAGAGAGACCCCGTCTCATGGCCCCTCCCGTGCGCAGGTTACCTGGGCTACTCCAGCGGCTTCTCGCTCACCTGCATGCTGTTCTTCCTCGTTGCGGTGAGTCCCCGCTGGTCAGGGAGGAGGCAGGCCCCCCCCCCCTGTCAGAGGGAGGAGGCAGCCCCACCCCCCTGGGCCCTGTCAGAGGGAGGAGGCAGCCCCACCCCCTGGTCCCTGTCAGAGGGAGGAGGCAGCTCCCCATCTGGTCTAGATCAGAGCGACTTCCCAGGCAGTCGCCCCCTGACCCTCTCCCCCCCCAGGTCATCTATAAAAAGTTCCATGTGCCATGCCCGCTGCTCTCCCCCTCTGCCAACGTCACAAGCAACTCCAGCCTCGGGGAGGAGACGCCACCCCTGGGGGAGCCTTTCAGCTCAGACTCCTGCACCGCAAACTACTTCACTCTCAACATACAGGTCCTGCCGGGCCGGGGCGGGGGCGGGGGCGGGCCGGGGAGGCCGAGGGGCGGCCCTGACGGTCCCGTGCTCCCCCAGACGGCATACACCATCCCCATCATGGCCTTCGCCTTCGTCTGCCACCCCGAGGTGCTGCCCATCTACACGGAGCTCAAGGAGTAGGTCCCGCGGACGGCGGCTGCTGAGCGGGCGGGCCAGGAGTGTGTCCTCAGGGGGTTGGCAGGCCTCCGGGTGCTATAGGTGATGGGGGACGGACCTCCGGGTGCTGTAGGTGATGGGGGAGTGGACCTCCGGGTGCTGTAGGTGAAGGGGCAGACCTCCGGGTGCTGTAGGTGACGGGGGCGGACCTCCGGGTGCTGTAGGTGACAGGGGCGGACCTCCTCCGGGTGCCGTAGGTGAAGGGGGCGGACCTCCGGGTGCCGTAGGTGATGGGGGGGCGGACCTCCGGGTGCTGTAGGTGACGGGGGCGGACCTCCGGGTGCTGTAGGTGACGGGGCAGACCTCCGGGTGCCGTAGGTGACGGGGGGCGGACCTCCGGGTGCCGTAGGTGACGGGGGGCGGACCTCCGGGTGCCGTAGGTGGCGGGGGGCGGACCTCCGGGTGCCGTAGGTGACGGGGGGCGGACCTCCGGGTGCTGTAGGTGAAGGGGCAGACCTCCGGGTGCTGTAGGTGACGGGGGCGGACCTCCGGGTGCCGTAGGTGACGGGGGCGGACCTCCGGGTGCCGTAGGTGACGGGGGCGGACCTCCGGGTGCTGTAGGTGAAGGGGCAGACCTCCGGGTGCTGTAGGTGACGGGGGCGGACCTCCGGGTGCTGTAGGTGACAGGGGCGGAACTCCGGGTGCCGTAGGTGAAGGGGGCGGACCTCCGGGTGCTGTAGGTGAAGGGGCAGACCTCCGGGTGCTGTAGGTGACAGGGGCGGACCTCCGGGTGCCGTAGGTGACGGGGGCGGACCTCCGGGTGCTGTAGGTGACAGGGGCGGAACTCCGGGTGCCGTAGGTGAAGGGGGCGGACCTCCGGGTGCTGTAGGTGATGGGGGGGCGGACCTCCGGGTGCTGTAGGTGATGGGGGGGCGGACCTCCGGGTGCTGTAGGTGACGGGGGCGGACCTCCGGGTGCCGTAGGTGACGGGGCGCGGACCTCCGGGTGCCGTAGGTGACGGGGGGCGGACCTCCGGGTGCCGTAGGTGACGGGGGGCGTACCTCCGGGTGCCGTAGGTGACGGGGGGCGGACCTCCGGGTGCCGTAGGTGACGGGGGGCGGACCTCCGGGTGCTGTAGGTGACGGGGGCGGACCTCCGGGTGCCGTAGGTGACGGGGGGGTGGGGGGGTTGGCGGACCTCCGGGTGCTGTAGGTGACGGGGGTGGCGGACCTCCGGGTGCTGTAGGTGATGGGGGCAGACCTCCGGGTGCTGTAAGTGAAGGGGCAGACCTCCGGGTGCCGTAGGTGATGGGGGGGGGAGGGGGAGGGACAGGAAGGAGGTGTGGGGAGGGGCAATGCCAGAGAGGCCGGGCCTGTGGGTCTGTCTCCCGGCGTGGCCCAGCCCGGCACCAAGGGCCCCCCCCACCCGCCCTCGCAGCCCCTCCAAGAGGAAGATGCAGCACATCTCCAACCTGTCCATCGCCGTCATGTACGTCATGTACTTCCTGGCCGCGCTCTTCGGCTACCTCACCTTCTACGGTAGGTGCTGGCCGCGGCGGGGCAGGCCGGGCACCCACCACAGGCACAGCATCGGGGGACCCATGCCCAAGCCCACCCCCTGCCCGGCCACCTGCTGACCCCCCTCCCCGCCTGCTGACCCCTCCCGCTGCGCAGACCGCGTGGAGTCGGAGCTGCTGCACACCTACAGCCAGGTGGACCCGTTTGACGTGCTGATCCTGTGCGTGCGCGTGGCTGTGCTGACGGCGGTCACACTCACCGTGCCCATCGTGCTGTTCCCCGTGAGCTGGCGGCCGGGGGGCTGGCCGGGGGGCGGGGCTGGGGGGGTGGAATGGCCGGGGGGGGCTGGGCAGGGGTAGGGGGGTGGAATGGCCAGGGCCGGGGTGGGCGAGGGGCTGACCCAGACCCTCCCCAGGTGCGCCGTGCCATCCAGCAGATGCTGTTCCCGAACCGGGAGTTCAGCTGGCTGAGGCACGTGATCATCGCCGTGCTGCTGCTCACCTGCATCAACCTGCTGGTCATCTTCGCCCCCAACATCCTGGGCATCTTCGGGATCATCGGTGAGCGGCGGCCGGCGGGCACCCCCCCCCCCGCCCCAACTTCTCTTTGCAGCTCCATTCGGGTTCCGGAGCTCACACCCACATTTACTTATTTATTTAAAGTCTTTAGTTGACTTGAGAGAGGGAAGGAGGGAGGGAAAAACATCGGATTTTGGATGCATTCATTGATTGCCCTTGTACGTGCCCTGACCCGGGATGGAACCTGCAGCCAGATGTATCCATCAGAATGACACTCTGACCACTGAGCTACCCGGCCAGGGCCTCCCACCCACGTGGAAGTGGTGGCTGCTGGCATGGCCTCCGTCTGAGGTCTGGTCTGTCAGGCTGTTTTGAGGACTCAGGCCCCCTGAGGCGGCGCCTCCACAGAGGGGTCCTGTCCCACCTTGTGCGTGAGGAACGTGAGGTTGAGTGACTGGGGGAGTCGCAGGGCCATCCACCCAGTGGGCAGGGAGCGGATTCAGGCCCAGGATCGTGGACGGCAGGTGGGGGCTCTGCCCTGGAAGAGCAGCCATTCTGAGACATCTCGTGGGGGACCCCTCAGGAGCCTGGCTCCCACTGCAGGGTCGGCCGCACTGCCGGGCTGAGCATCGTGGGTACCAAGGACAGAGCTCTGGGTCGTATGTATCCGAATTCCAACTCTAAGTGAGTCAGGCAGGAAGGAATCATTGGCTCAAAGAGGAGAAACGCTGTCAGGAATAGCTGCCTCCAGGAGCCCAGTCTCCTAAGCTCTGTCTCTGCCTCGCATTGTGCCTTCCTCTGTGCCAGCCTCCTTCCCCGAGATTGTTCTGACACCGGGCGCCAGCCTTCCACCAGGGGGCAGAGAAAGGGGGTCTGAGGGGCCCCTGTGTTTCCCCCTCCCTGGGCCCAGCCCTGAAGCGTGGTCTCCCGCAGGTGCCACGTCCGCCCCGTGCCTCATCTTCATCTTCCCCGCCGTCTTCTACTTCCGCATCGTGCCCCCCGAGACTGAGCCCGCCAAGTCCACCCCCAAGATGCTGGTGCGCGGGGCCCGGAGGCCGGTGGGTGGGTACGAAGCTGAGGGCTCGGCTCTGACCTCGGTCCTGACCCTGACCTCTGACCCCTGACCCCACAGGCCCTTGGCTTCGCTGTGCTTGGCTTCCTGCTGATGACCATGAGCTTGAGCTTCATCATCATTGACTGGGTGTCGGGGACCAGCCGGCAAGGAGGAAGCCACTAGGACTGCCGTCCTGCTCTGCCGACTCGCACCCAGGCCGGGCGGGGCCAGGAGGAAGGCGTGGCTGACGTGCCCTAACCCCGTCCTCTCTGGGGAAGGTTTTGTTTTTAAAAAGAGCCAGGACCAAGGCCCTCGGGCCCACCCTGCTGGGAACTGGCTGCAGCGCGTCTGAGCTGGGCACCGGGTGGGGCGGGGGTGTCAGGGGCTGCAGCCCTGCTCCCCTCATGTTGCCTCGATCCCCCAAACCCGTTCCCCCCTTGCACAGAGGCAGACTCTGAGTCACACCGCCTATGGGGCACACAGCGAGCACCAGGCCGCAGCTGCCCCCCACCTGGCTGCTGGGCCACAGCCCGACCCTGAGGCCCCACTGCCTTGCCCCCAAAGCCCCCACCCCCCACCCCGGGCCCTGGGCCCCTCACAGGCACTGGGCTCACGTCCTTGGACGCCCTTGTCCCCTCTCCCAGCCCCTCCACCAGGACCAGACCCCACCCTGCACCCGGAGCCAGCAGGTTCTCTCGGGGGGAGGCTGGTGTGGGGCCCCCAGGATCCCTGCCTGCACCTGCACCTGCACCAGCCCCGGGGAGGCTGGGACTCCCCACCAAGCCTGGGCTAAGCTCACGGGCCCGGGGCGGGAGCGGCTGGCGCGGCCTTTTATAAATATGACACACACGCTGCGTTCCGTTCTTGACCTCCGGGGGCCTGGGTTCCTGGAAGGCGGCGTGAGAGCGGGACGGGGGGTGACGGGGGCCCTCCTGCCTCTGTGCGGGGGTGGGGTGGGCACGGCGAGTCCCCCCTCCCCGTCCGTCCCACCACTGCGTGCCCAGACCCTGCGCTGGGCCTGGGCCAGGCTGCACACAGACCTGCTTTCTCCGGCGGCGGCGGCGAGGTGGGAGTGAATGGGCCGGGAAGTGGGACAGAGGCTCCGGAAGGAGGGAACGTGAGGCGCATCCAGTGCCGAGGGCTGCGGGCGCAGAGCCCCCTCCTGTCTGTCCGTCAGTCCGTCCGGGCGTGCAGCTGCTCTCCCCCAGCACCTGGTGGTGGTGGTGAGGGCGCCCAGGCCAGGCGGGGGCTGCGAGGAAGGAGGGGGCAGCCCAGGTGCCCGGCCCGGGAGGTGGGGGAGGGGGGCTGGGAGGCTGCCTGAGCCAGCGGGGCTCAGCGGGATGGAGTGGCCCAGGTCTTGGCACCAAAGCCTCATTAGCAGAGACCCTGTGCCCAGCAAGGCCTCCGGGGAAAGGGCAGCAGGAAAAATCCAGTTTGGACTGGCAGGGCGGCTGCCAGCATGGGCGCCCTGAAGAAAGGACTTCCTCACGCTGGTGGCGGCTGGGGCCGCGGCGTGCCAGGGCCCCCCAGGGGGAAGGGAGCGGGGAAGGGGGCTTCCTGCGCCTGGTTCCCATCAGCCGGGAGCCCCGGGACCCCAGAAGGACCTGGACCCAGGGCCGCCCTCGGGCGCTCTGGCTTCTTCCCCATCAGAGGCTGCAGCCTGGCCTCGAACCCTGGGCTCCTGGGAGCGGGAGGCAGCACAGGCAGGGGCCACCCCGCACACAGACCTGGGCCTATCCTCGCCCACCCTCGGTCCAGAGGCTGCAGGGCACATGCCCACCGCACACACAGGCGGCCTCCATGTCTGCTCCCCAGCAGGGCCGCCCTGGCCGGACGCCGGCAGCAGGTACCGGCCGCCACACCATGTCCAAGCTCACATGCCCCCGACTGAGCACGCGTGTCCATACCCGGCCCAGGAGCCCCGGTCAGCGTGAAACATTTTTTAAGAGGATCTCAGGTCTTTCTTCCTCTTTTCTGCTTTTAGAAACTTTCTCTGGCCCCGGCCAGTTCGGCTCAGTGGATAGAGTGTCGCCTGGCCAGTTCGGCTCAGTGGATAGAGGTTGGCCTGTGGGCTGAGGGGCCCCAGGTTTGGTTCTGACCAAGGGCACGCACCTCTATTGCAGGCTCGATCCCCAGCCCCAGTCAGGACACGTGCAGAAGGCAACAATTGATGTGTCTCTCCCTTCCGCTCTGAAAAGCAGCGGGAAATACCTGGGGGCGGACTAACAACCACATTTCTCTGAGGGGAAAAAAAACAACACAAAAGCCACACAAACACGAAAACATGTTCTACTTGGAATATTGACAAGACAGAGCAGCAGAGTCCACACCAAAGGCCTACATTTTTCCTCCCTGCTCTTAGGGGGGCGTGCACCAGGAAGCGAGTGGGTGTGGACCAGGGCCTGGCCGGCGTGTGGGCTCAGTCCCCAGCAGGGGGCGTGCAGGAGGCAGCCGATCCATGATTCTCTCGATGCTTCTCTCTCTCTCCCTCTCCCTCTCTGAAATCAAGATTTTTTTTTTTTTGAGGAGAGCCCAGGAGGAGGCCCCTAAGCCTGGATCCCCTGCCCGCTGTGCACAGGTGCACATCTGCCTGCCAACCGAAGAGGGGTCAGGCATTCACCCGCCAGGTGTCCTGCGCCCTCTGAGCCGGGTGCCTCCTGCACCTGTGCCCACGCTGGCGCAGGGGGAGGCCCGCCTTCCAGGACTGCACTCCGGCCGGGCAGGGGGTTCAGACCAGAGACGGAGCAGCCAGGAGGTTCCAGCATGTGTGATGTGTGAGAGGATGCTTGGTGCTGCTATAGGAGGCAGACTGGCCAGGCGAGGGCCATGGAGCCAGGTGCAGGGTCGGCCTCGCTGGGAGAGGGGCCTGTGACCAGAGGTTTGCAGAGGGAGGAAGCCATGTGGGTGCCTGGGCGGGGGGGGGGGGGGGGGGGGGGGGGGGGGATCCCAGCAGAGGCAGCCAGTGCGAGGCCCGAAGGCAGGACATGCCTGGCCCTCACGTGGCCGATGTCAGGAGGGCAGGAGAGCATGGAGGGGGTGGGGGCCGGGAGGGGCAGGCAGGACTCGGTAATGACTAGAAGCTTAAATGGATCATTCTGGAGGCTGGACTCCGAGTGGGGGCTGGGGAGCCCGGGATGACCCTGACACAGGCCTAGCCCTCGGTGCAGACAGAGGCGTGGAGTGGCCCGGCCAGGCCGCACGGTTCCCTGATGGGGTAAGAGGGGAGGGACACAGACAAGTCAAAATGACGCCCAGCCCATGGGGACCGAGCTGCCCCTGCACCCGCTGGGGGAGGGGCAGGCTTGGGAGGGAGGTCAGTTTTGCCCATGAAACACGGGCTGGATGTCCGCATAGAGATGCCTAGTGGACGGTGGGCGTCTGGCCCGAGTTCAGCAGAGCGGCCAGCTCTGGAGCCTGGGTCTGGAAGGCTGAGGGAGTGACCGTAGGGAAAGCCGGGCCTGGGGAGGTGGGAGGTGAGCTGGGACGGAGGAGGGCAGCAGGCAGGTCTGAGCGCGGGCACATTCCTGCCAGGTGCTGGGAGGTGAGGCGGAACCGAGGCCCTGAGCAGCAGCAGCTGGTGGGAGGGACAGGAGGGGTGGGCGCTGGGAGCTGGCCAGCATCAGCTGCTCGTGCACATGAGGGTGGAGGGCTGGTCACACGCGGGCTGCCCAGGGCCAGGGAGGGCACGTGTGACCGGACTGACGGGGGGAGGAGGGGGAGGAGGAGGAGGAGGAGGGAGCTGGAGAGGCCATGGGTGGAATTTGTGCGAAGTGAGAGAAGCAGGGCCCACGGAGGCTTTTCGGGAAGACAGGGAGGACAACACTGCAGTAGCCGGTGTGGCTCAGGGGGCTGGAGTCCAGGGTTCGATCCTGGTCAGGGGCACAGGCCCGGGTTGCGGGCTCGGTCCCCAATGTGGGGCGTGCAGGAGGCAGCTGATCTGTGATTCCGTCTAATCATTGATGTTTCTACCTCCCTCTCCCTTCATCTCTGAATCAATAAACATATCAGTTAAAAGCCTGGGAGGAAGCAGCTGTGAGGCGCTGGCGGTGGGAGGTAAACGAAGACAGGGCAGGTCCTGGAGGAGCCGAGCTGGGAGGCAGGAGGTGGCGCTCGGATCCTTGGCATCAGGGAGTGCGCAGCTGGCCACCGGCAGACAGCGAGGGGCACCTGAGTCCGCGGTGCAGCCAGGGACCCCGGGAGCAGGTGGAGGGGCTGGGGGCATCCTCAGGCGTCGGCCTGGACCCCCAGTCCAGCCAGGCAGCCAGGACTAACTGTCAAACACCTGGGACGGTGATCGGGGGCCGGAAGTGACTTAGAAAGAGCAGCGGGGTGGGGGTGGGGTGGGGTCCGGACAGGAGAAGCCGCTTTCAGAACCGGAGGCTGCACACCCGCCTGCACTGGGCTGCGGCTCCCGGCGCCGCCGCCGGCCTCTGCTGCCCCCTGGCGGCCAGCGCAGCAGCCTGTGGCCGGCTGGTGGCTGCGGGCCGGGGCGGGTCCGAGGTTCCAGGGCGGGAAGGAGGCGGGTGGGAGACTTCGGGCGGTGAGGGAGGTCCCCTCAGGGCGGGCGGGAGCGTGAGGAGCTCGGCAGGGCCCTCGGGGAGCCAGGCCGCAGCCCCCAAGGGCTCCCTGATCCCGGAGAAAGGGGCCGGGTCCCGAGACCCAACCTTGGCCAAGGGTTCCGAGAGCCCCTCCCAGCGTTACCAGCCTCTCATCCCGGCCACGTTGTTGTTTTTGTTTGTTTTTTAACTATATTTTATTGATTTTTTAACAGAGAGGAAGGGAGAGGGATAGAGAGTTAGAAATATTGAGAGAGAAACATCGACCAGCTGCCTCTTGCACACCCCCTACCGGGGATGTGCCCACAACCAAGGTACATGCCCTTGACCGGAATCGAACCCGGGACCTTTCAGTCCGCAGACCGACGCTCTATCCACTGAGGCACACGGGTCAGGGCCTGCCACGTCTTTGAGGTCAAACTCAGCCCCTCGCTCGGCCCCGCCTGACCCTCGGGAAGCAGGTGTGTGTGTGTGTGTGTGTGTGTCCAGCGAGATGACCCCAAATCAGCGTCTCATCCTCGCTGTGGACTGGGGGGCGGGGGGAGAGGGCGTCCTGGGGCGGGTGTGGGGTCCGGGACCAGAAGGCAGAGGCGGTGGGGGCGGGCTGGAGGGGCGGGGCTGGAGAGCGCCCGGAGGCCGGGCTCAGACT